AAGTGCAAGTTTTCCTTTTTAATGTGACCCACAAAAATAGTACTGACATGTCATGGCCAAGGGTCACTGCTGTGCAGGGACATTTCTTATTTCAGTAAAACAGCTCAAGCCAATTATAGCCCTGTTGGAATGAGTCCTGACAGCGCAGTCCCAGTTCTCCTCATTCCCCACCTAAATCATCTCAGGGCCTTCCCCACCTAAATCATCTCAGGGCCATGAAGGAATTTAAAGTTCAGACAAGGAAGGGCACTACAAGCACCACCACCTGATGTTACAAATCCCCTTCAGGGCCCACCTCTGCCTCCAGAGTTCCCACTAAGAGGAGAAAGCAAAACACCCTGATGTAACAGTCCTTTGCATTCTAAGAGTCACTGGGAAACTGTTTCCTTTTCACAAAAATCTCAAGGATGTGATAACAACATATAACAATGACCAAAAGCTAAAGAAAGGGCCTCACTGTGTCATCAAGGTCTGCAGGCAAGGGAATCCAAGCTGGCAGAGTTACAAACAAGTAACTCTTCTTTTTACTTTCAGTTATTAGCCTTCAACTTCCCTTAGCCCTTCCGTGGGGGTGGGGAAACGAACAAATATAATTGCAAAGTACTCATGACAATAGTCCAAAAATCCAGAAGTTGAGAAGAAAATGGTGGGAAAGCAATGTGTGAGACCTGTCCCAGCACTGGACTCAAAGAACTTTCTTACTCATTTGCTAATCAACCATGGAAAGAAACTCATGGAATATAATCCCTAGACAGACAGCATTTCAAGATATTGAGAAATAAATTCAAGTAACAAAAACAGAGCACTTGACACCTGTCCTGTACAAACAAGGAAGGCAGTGTGGACCTAAAGAGCAAATGAGTCCCTGGATTTCTTCTTGTCCAAACCCAACAGGGTGAGCATCCAATCTAGTGTGGACGGAAGAACTCAGTTGAGCCTCAACCTGCACTAAGGAGCTAAGGTAAGGTATTGATATGAAAAAGGAAAGACTTCCTTTCTGAGACACTGCAGAAAAAGGCAGGCAATGTTCCATTATGGAGAGATGGCCTTGTGACTGTTGGTTATACAGTATTATCATTTTAGGAATAAAGAAAAGAGAAGCTCAGAAAGTGTACTAATGTTTTCAGGTCCATTTGAGAGGCAATACAACACTTGCATATCTGAATGCTGACAGCAGAGAGAGAGTGAGGCAGAGGCCACACCTACAGCTATGGGGGAGATGATCCAAGAAAAGGAAAGATACTTCCCTCTAACATCAGTTCTCCAAATAGTGATGGCTTATACAACAGATGACTGCAATGACAATAATGCCACCCTGTCTTCAAAGGGTGCTGTTGTACATCTGACTCTCTCTGAAGAGCTCTGGGAGTTTGGCAAGGCATGTTTTCTTAGATCTATCTTACAAACGAAAGAGCCACCAGCAGTGAGGTAAAATGACTTGTCCCTTGTTATAGATTTAGGGTGCAGAACTGGGACTTGGACCTGACTTGTGGAATCCAAACTCAAAAAGATTTCTCTACCACATCACACAGACACAAGGCTCTTTACCACTACTTGTTCCTCAGGTAGAAAGAGAAAGAAACTACTAGTACAGGATGCCAATTTTCTGAAGAAACGTTTGTCACATTCTTAAAAACAAAAAGATGAGATTGTCCTGGTGTGATCTGTGGAAAAATACATTGTAAACATTTAACATGAAAAACCATCCTCCAATACAGGATGACAACTGGATCTCACTTGACTAACTGCAACTGGGTCTCCTGGTACCCTACTGCTTTCAAAGCAGGGAAATTTGAAGGATTCCCTTGCTCTACTCTTATTTGTAATAACAAAAAAATATGGCATCTAGTTTTCTAAGTCTAAACAGTAAAGGTAACACAGCACTGCAAGAACTGTGAATACTGCTGCAACATCACCTGAAACTAAAAGCTTGAATTAATAATGTAGAGAAATGTCTAGAAAATCAGGTTTATTAGATTTCTAAATGTTTATTCAAACATGTATAGAACCATTGTTTTTCTTTAAAAGAAAAGAATGGAGTTCCATGTAGTTCAAGTCAAAAGAAGGGAATTCCATGTAATTCAACTTTTGTTTAGAAACTACTAGGTGCAAGATGCTATTATAAATACTTATCACGGATTAACATAGATTATCACTCAATCCTGAGGACACCCCTTGAGGAAGGTACTATTACTATTTTCATTTTACAGATAAGGAAACTGAGGCACAGAGGTAACTCGCCTAAATTCACACAGGTAATATTAGAGCCAGAATTCAAATCCCAAGTCACCAACTTAGCCCATGTCCCCCCATCTGCCAGAAAGGAATAATGAAATGAGAAACTAGAATTTTTTTTAAAAAAGCAGAACTTCAAAGAGGTCAGAAACAGGGAAGGGGAGTTACTAAAAAATAATGAAAACAACCTCTTATTCTCTTATAAAATTTTTTAAAAACTTTAGAAATAACAAGAAACTCTAGCCATTGAAATCCTTTGGCCACCAGTTCAAAATGTCACCTACTAAGCTTTAAAGAGGCTCTGCTTTTCTCCTTATTTTGGAGCACTCAATAAGAGCAAGAACCACATGTTCTTTCAGTGGTTTTTAAAGTAACTACACTTTGTTAATCCTCCTTCCATTTTGGAACAAAGAACACTGGAGTACATTATGTAACTTAAATCATTTTTCAGAACCTGTACAAATAAAAACATTTGCTTTGAGGCCACTGAACATACAAAATATGAGGGAACTGAGCAGATAAACTTTTATAGTAAGCTATAATTAATGCCAGTTTATTGGCACTCTTGTTCTTAAGAAGTGCTTCTTTACTCTAGAGCTACAGGCACACCTTGTTTTGTTGTGTTTCACTTTAGCATGCCTCACAGATGTGGGGGGGTTGTTTGTTTTTTTAACAAATTGAAGGCAAGATCCTCCACCAGCAAAAAGATGACTCATTTTACTGTGATACTCACTTCACTCTGGTGGTCTGAAACTGAACCTGCAATTTTTCCAAAGTATGGATGTAATTTCAAAATGAACTTATATCTTTACAAACCACACAACACGAAGGTGGACAAGCATTCCACCTTCTGGGATAGTAGGTTCCCAGTACAAACCAATGTGCAGGAAGAAAAATCATTGTGTAAGGTAGCCTGAGGCCAGCAGACACCAGCATGAAATCAACCAACACTGACCTTAGCAGAGCCTTAGACTGAAGTAACTGCTGAGATAGCAAAGGACTTGAAGACCATCTCTCTAGATGTGAAACCACTTATTGTTTGCATGTAAGGGAAAAGAAACGCAACTAAAAATGAGGCTGTAATGAACTTATCATCAAAAACGCAATGGCTGGAGAAATGATGGACTCCACAGAATCTCTTTGATTCAGACAGATTTACTTTCTATTTATTTGCTGTAATGGAGCAGCAGTTGATAGTCTAAAACCAGCAATTCCACGTAATGCCCAAGACACTCTCATTCATGCTAGCCTGTTTTATTGTCATCATAGAGTTCTATAGCTCTATTTTTCTTCATATTGCTCATCTCCACTAGAAAATATAGCTTTCTTTTATTGTCTGCTTACCCACGCATTACCTCTGTAAGGCAGAGACCTCATCAGTGGTGCTGTCTGCTGTCCTCCCACTGGGAGGACATCGTAGGCCTTCTGATTGAATGAAACAATTGACAACTTGATCAATATGTTAGAACTTTTAGGTAAGGAGACCAATCGTTTAATAACCATATTAGAACACCCAGTGAGTGTTCTCCACATTCTAGTGCCTCGGGAAGCTGCTATACCCTGGCAGCACCAATGATTTGAATCTTTTCCATGGTGTGGAACCTCCTCAAGGTAGGTTTGGTTTGTGAAATAGCCAAAAGACATTCAGAGTCAAATCTGATGAATAAGTGATCTTGCCCCAAATATATGTTGAATGAAAACAAAATGTATCTATAAATTAACAAGTTTCATTGTGTTATTTGGCCGGTAAACTGGTTTTAAAGGAAATTCAAATGGTTTGAACTATGGCAAAATCGCTGGCTCAGTCTCAAGACTCTAAGGTAGATACTTTACAAAGAACAAAAACTGAGCTGTGCTTAAAAAAAACAAAAACAAAAAAAAAAACCTACCCAGGCTAGACAGCCACCAAGATATCCTCTCACCTGACTTATGATACTGCTTTGTCATTAGGTTGCCCCGCAGCCTGTGTCACATTAGTTACCCTCTCTGAGCTTCGGTTTCCCACATCTAGGAAATAAATGAACTACATGAACTTCAAGGTCCCAGTCAATTCTAATATGCCATGATTCCTTCTTGTGAAGGTTTAGTATGTCTGTTCCAAAACCACTTACAATCCACTTTGCCTCATACTTTATATTCGTACATAGAGCTTAAAAGTGTAATTTTTGCAGGAGAATTATTTCTTCTATGCTTAGGCAAAAACTAAAATTAGTTTTCACTTCCTGAGCGGAACGAAGGACAGTTAAAGGAGGGAACCCAGCAAAGGGCGCTTGCTCGCGCCTGTGCATACTTCAGACTGCGTATCAGGGAACTAACCTTTCCCTTTCAGATCTTCGTTCAACTGTTGCAAAAACAAACAAGCCTCCTGTATGTGACACAGAAACAAAGACTGGCCAAGAACACGGACCCACTCTTCAAGGCCAATGACCGCCTGTGCCCACTGTGCAGAACCCATGGGGGATGAGGCGAGCACCCACCTCGCGCGGAGTGCCTTGCGAAGGACCAGCCGAGGCGTGTCGCCAGGGAGACAGGGCGGCCGCCCAGCCCGCTCGCCGCCCAGAAACGGGCTTTAAAGCCCAGGCTGCGGCTACAACACACCTTTCCCCCCACCCCGGCCCACCGGCACCATTCCCAACCCGACCCTCGCCCGCGGGCCTCGGACCTTGGACCAGGAGAACGTAGAAGCCGGAGACACTTGCCTACTGCTCTCTGGCCTCAGACCTGGCAGGCGAGTACAGCCAAGGAGTTTGGGTGTACCCACTCACCCTTCTGGTGCTGCGAGGCCCCACGGAACGCGCCGGCCTGGGAAGTCCAAACTTCTTTCTCCCTGCCCACCAATGCTCCCACACCACAGACCCCGCAACGTTCAGCTCCGAAACAAGTCGCAGCACCCGCCCACCCACCTTGGGATTCGAGTGCCACCGCTCTAGCCCGGCTGCTCAGCTCCCCGGACCCGCTCCGCCTCCAGGGCCCTCCCCCTGCGGCCTTCCGGCCTTTGGCCAACGCCCTCCACCCTCCTCCGAGCGCCGATTGGCGGTAGCGCACCACGTGACAGAGGCCGGTGGGCGGGAGGCTCCTGGGAGCATTAGGAGCCGCTCCCAGGGGCGGGGCTCTTCAGCCAAGTGGCTGCTGGGAAACCCTCTTTGAAAGGTCCAAAGCAAGGTGGCCGCTGGGAGTTGTAGTTTTAAATACGGTGCTAGGAATGGGCTGGGCCGAGATGCTAGGAGCCACTCTTGGAGTAGGTGCCACGCAGAGACTTCTGGGAAGCGTAGTCCCAGGACGCTTCTGTGTCTCACTGTTTTCCTTCAAAGGGGAAACCCAGAGGGAAAACTTCTATAGATAAAACTTGAGCGGGTGTCTCTAAATTTAGCTATTACTGGTACATAAGGTTGGTTAAGTGAAATGGACATACTGTAAGGAAAAAACTTTCACTGTTTCTAGTGCAGACTATGCAATTCACAAACCCAGCTCACAGCTGAGAGGTCTCCTTTGCAAGAACTCTCTTGAGACTTAGTGAAAGGGAACATTTCAGCACAAAATTAGTTCTACTTTTTGAGGTTTGGAGCAAGCAAACATTAACACAGTGAAAAGAAAGCAAAAGGAAAAACAAAAAAGAAAACTTTCTGATGAGAATTCAGTATGTAATAATAACTTAAAAAAACATACTCAGACCCTGGCTGGTGTGGCTTCGGTGGATTGAGAGCCTGCCAACAAACCAACCCCTAGCTGATTAGATTACCAGTCAGAGCCCAAACCCGGGTTGAGCCGGGTCCCCAGTACGGGGCATGTGAGAAACAACCACACATTGATGCTTCTCTCCTCTTTCTCCCCCCAACCCCGCCGCCCCTCTCTCTAAAAATAAAAATAAATACAATCTTTTTAAAAACATGGACACATAAAAGAACATGACAAATATGTGCAATGTTCTTTGCGATGCATGGCAATTATATGTAAGTATTCATGTAAATGATGGTCAATAACATTACTTTGACATGATCTTTTCCCTCATATTTTTTAGTACTCCAGCATCTAAAAGTATATGTTTTACTTACCAGTATATATATATGAGTGTGTGTATAATTGTCTACCATGGGTTTATTTTTGGACTCTCTATTCTGTTCCATTGATCTATATGTATCTGTTCTTATGCTGGTACCAGACTGTTTTGATCACAGTAGCCTCGTCAATAATATTCAACAAAAGGGGCAGGAACAAAAATGGAGTAAAAATAGCCGTTCGACAAATGGTGTTGGGAGATCTGGACAGCTACAGGCAAAAAAATGAAACTCAGTCACCAACTTACACCACACACAAAAATTAACTCAAGATGGATAAAAGACTTAAATATAAGTCATAACACCAGAAAAGTCCTAGAGGAGAACATAGGCAGGAAAATCTGAGATATTCCACACAGCAAAATTTTCAAAATGTCCCCTAGAGCAAGGGACATAAAAGAAAGAATAAATAAATGGGACTTCATCAGAATAAAAGGACTCTGCGTGGCTAAAGCAAACATCAGCAAAGTGAAAAGGGAACCAAGTGTACAGGAAAATATATTTGCAAATGATATCTCAGACAAGGGTTTGATCTCCAAAATATATGAAGAATCCACAAGACTCCACTCCAGGAAGACAAACAACCCAATTAAAAAAGAGGCAAAGGGAGTGGTGGGGGGGGGGAATGGAGAGAACTATACTTGAACAACAATAAAAATTTGAAAAAAAGGAGGGGCAAAGGACCTAAATAGACACTTCTCCAAGGAGGACATACAGAAGGCTCAGAGACATCTGAAAGAATGCTCAGCATCAGTAGCTATCAGAGAGAAGCAAATTAAAACTACAATGAGATACTACTTCACACCAATCAGAATGGCCATCATAAACAAATCAACAACTAACATGTGCTGGCAAGGATGTGGAGGAAAGGGAACTGTAGCACATTGTTGGTGAGAAAGCAGACTGGTGCAGCCACTGGAAAACAGTATGGAATTTCCTCAGAAAACTTAAAATGGAATTAAAGTGAAATTGCCTTTTAACCTGGCAATTCCACTGCTGGAATTAATACCCTAAAAATCCTGAAACACCAATCCCAAAGAACCTATGCACCCCAATGTTCATAGCAGCACAATTTACAATAGCCAATTGCTGGAAGCAACCTAAGTGCCCATCAGTAAGTGAGTGGTTCAAAAAACTGTGGTATATTTACACAATGGAATAGTACACAGCAGAAAGAAAGGAGGAGCTCCTACCCTTTGCAACAGCATGGATGGAACTGGAGATACAAGCCAGGTAGTAAAAGACAAATATCATATGATTTCACCTATAAGTGGAACCTAAATAACAAGACAAACGAGCAAGCAAAATATAACCAGAGACACTGAAATAAAGAACAAACTGACAGTGAGCATGTGGAAGGGGATAGGGGAATAATGGGGAAAGAAGGGGAAGAGTTGTCAAGGAACATGTGTAAAGGACTCATGGACAAAGCCAAAGGGGGGGGTAGTATTGAAGGTGGGAGGTGGGGGGTGGGTGGGGTAAGAAAAAGTGGTGGCAGGAAAATGGAGACAACTGTACTTGAATAAAAATTTTAAAAAAGAAAAAAAGAAAACAAAAAACATATCATTATACATGCGCATACACACATATTAACCCTGTTGAAGAGTCCAGACTTCTTAGATCAGTAACAAGCCCTTCATATTACAATCCCGCGTAATCTTCAATGGCTTCTGCCAGTGCATCTCTTCTCTCCCCTCACCCCAGTTTCTGACCTAGGCACAGGGAGCTTCTTACCATTCTCTGGAAGCACCAAGTTACTCCCTTACTCCCTTACTCCAAGCACTTCCTTATTCCCTCCAGCACTTTACACTTATTCCTTTCCCCTGAATTGGTCAAATTCCTCAAAAGGCAACAGAATAGCACTTGCTCCTGGGCCAGATAGAATTAGAAGTTCTCCCTAGAGCTCTTCTCATAATACCAATATCATCATTTGCTTACTTGTTTGCCCTGTCAACTCCCCTCCCTAGATAGTGAACTTCTTTAATCGCATTCCTTTTTGTACTGGACGTGAAAGTGTGCTCAGAGAATGCTTATTGATTGCATGAATTTATGCCAGAGAGGCTCCCTGGTGTGCTACTGAATAACTGGGTTCTCAAATATCTGAGTCTTGGAGCAAAGGGAGAGAGGAAAATGGGTGGATGAAGGGAGGGCAGCAGCTGTGTGGGAGATTTTTGCATAAAGTAGGCACCGTTGTTCAAGGATGAGGCTAAAGAGCCTTGCTCCATGGGGGAAAGCAGGGACATTCTTCATCCCAAGGCTGTAGACACTGGGGAAGATTTCTCCAGGACTTCCAACCTGGGTCAAGCCCCAGCTCCAGAAGGAGACAACCCAAGCTGAAAGGGCCAGTAGAAAAGACCAGTCTCTGGCCTGTGAAATGGACACAGTGACTCCTGCTCTGCCTGCCTCAGAGCATATTTGTAGAGATCAAGTACAGAAGAGAGATAAAAAGCACATTGAAAACTGTAAAGGCTGAGCACCTCAGAAGAGTTTGCAATTTACCCTTGGCCAGGTGGCCATTTTCTTGACCAAGTCCTGTCCTCCATCAGGCTGTGTGTTGGGGGTTCTTCAGCCTTCCCTGAATAAGACACAAACACATGCACACATGCACACGTGCACAAACACCCCAAATGTAGGGGGATTGGGGAGAGTTAGCTGGCTTGCCAGCCAGGGGCTCTCAGACAGTAGGGAGGAGGAGCAATAGATATGACATAAGGCTGCTTCTTTGACAACCTTTCTGGGTGGGACATCCTTCACCCATTCCCCCAGATTCCTTCTGCTTTTGCTAAGGCACAGGTAGGAGGTGACTTCTATCTTCTAGTGCTCCATCTGTTTCTCACAAGTTGGGGGAAATGGAGCAGGTAAGACTAGGAGGGATCTATACCTTTGGCCTGGCTAGGTGTACCTCTTAGCCCACCCCCAGGCTCCTGGGTGAGAAGCAGGCCCAAGAAAGAAAATGGACTGTTTCCTGCTTCTCTCCCTTAGCACACTTACCACATAGGTCCAGGTGCTGGTGGTTTTAGCTCTCAGTCCTCACACCTGCCAGGCTGGAGACTGCCACCACTTGGTTCTACCAGATTCACTATATTGGGCCTGGGCTGGAGGAAGGTGTAGGGCCGTGAAGGGCCTCCTGACATAGGAAGGAGAAAGCTGAAGAAAGAGGTGGTCAGAAATAAAAACTTCAGATGTGGCTGGGGCACTGTGCTCTATCAGAAAGCACTTGGAATCAGAAAACCTGGATTCCAGGTCCCAGCAATTCTATAGACAAACTGTTGGGCTTGGGAAAGCTATTTCACCTCGCTTATCAGTAGCTGCTTTTTCTAGAAAAAAAATAAAAGGAGTCAAATATTACCTCCCAGGGTTGCTGTGTCCTAGCAGAGCGAGGACAGAGGTGAGTGTAGTGCATAGTTTAAAGGTGGGAGAGGTATCTTCACTTAAGTTCTCTGAGGCTGTCTACAATTGTCAATCTGTTTTGGTTTGGTTGGTGGGTACATTGGATTTTTTAGGGTGTACTAATATAGTTTATTTATTTTCTTTTATTTTTCAATTATAGAATACATTTAATATTGTTTATATTAGTTGCAGATTTACAGCATAATGGATAGACAGTTATGTACACTACGAAGTGGTCTCACCAATGTTTCAACCACCTACCTAGCACCATACCTAGTTATTAGAAAATTATTGACTATATTCCTTATGTTATACTCTACATCCCCAGAACGATTTTGTGACTACAAGATTATAGTTCCACTCCTTTCACCTTTTTCACCCACCATCCTCCCTTCTGGCAACCATTAGTCTATTCTCTGTCTCTATGAGTGTGTTTCCATTTTATTGTT